CCCCCCTCCTGTAACCACCAGCCCCCACTCCCCTCCCAGAGCCAGGGAGAGAACCCAGGAGTCCTGGCTCCCAGCCCCCCTGCTCTAACCACTAGACCCCACTCCCCTCCCAGAGCCAGGGAGAGAACCCAGGAGTCCTGGCTCCCAGCCCCACCCCCGCTCTAACCACCAGCCCCCACTCCTCCCAGAGCCAGGGAGAGAACCCAGGAGTCCTGGCTCCCAGCCCCACCCCTGCGCTAACCACCAGCCCCCACTCCCCTCCCAGAGCCAGGGAGAGAACCCAGGAGTCCTGGCTCCCAGCCCCCCCTGCTCTAACCCGTGGCATACGTGGCCCCACTGACAGGCATTACAGGGATAATCCGTGTGTCCAGGTCTGTTGGCAGGATGGGGGTTATGTAACAGGGCCCCCCCCCGCTGCTTCCAATCCCGTTAGCGGGGATGAGCTCAGGGCCCGGCACCGAAAGCCCAGTGTAAACACAGCCTTAAGCAGCTTGGCCTAATCAGCCAGGGCCTGGCACCCAGGGGACAGATGGCAGCATCCGAGCCAGCCAAAGCTTCCCCCCCCGCCAGGGGACTGGCACCCCCACCCCTGCCGGTGCCCCTCACTCCCCACCCACAGCCCCTGCTAGCCCAGTCCTGGGCTCCCCCCAGCCCTGCCGGTGCCCCTCACTCCCAACCCGCAGCCCCTGCTAGCCCAGCCCTTGCATCCCCCCACCCTGGCGGGACCCCTTAGGAAAGGGCAGCTCGTCTTCCTCTCCCACGGATGAAGCTGGCCTGGCTCCGCCTCTCCTGAGTGGCCAGCAGGAGGCAACGTCCTGGGATCAAATCTAGGTCCTCGTAGCCACTGCATAAGCCTTCCCATGGTGGGGGAGTGGGTGTCACCGCTGCAGCCCCTGTCGTCCACCAGGGGGCACCCTCCCACTGCCATTGTCAAGACCAATGTCGGGAAAAGAGGGCCCAGGTCCCACTTGCAGCCGGCCCCACAGGTCCAAGGGAGCCGCCGCACTGGGAACCCCCTCCCCCCAACCAGAGACCAAAATGTGGTGCAGGATCTGGGCGGCAACTTGGGCTGCTGGGCCTCAGACTCCTGGGTTCTCTCCCCAGCTCGGGGGGGAAGGGGGGGAGGGGGGCTGGGAACCAGGACTCCTCGGTTCTCTCTCTTTTCAAGGTCACACAGTGGCAAAAACATGTCCCATCTCCCGGCCTCAGTTTCCCCACCCGTGACACACTATGTCTGAAGAACACTGGACCACCGCCATGGGGCACCCCCTTCACAGATGTCGTGCATCCCCAGGGACCCACCCCCTTTCCCGTTCTCCCCCCCACAGAGGTTGTGCCACGCTGCAGGCTGGTTTGAACCCTTTATTGGGACATGCTAGCCATTCACGCAGTCTTGGTAGCCCGGGTTCTCTTCTTCTTCACCACCACCGGCTTCTGGCTCCGCAGGATGGCGCTGGCGCGGCGCAGAGCAGCCTGGAGATGGGGGAAAGAGTGTGAGGCTGACGCACAGTGGAGTGGGGTGCCCCCTGCAAAGGGGGGGGCTACTGCAGCGATTGGGCCTCGCTTCCCCACCCAACCTGCACCCGACTTCTAGAGATCGCCCCTGAAGCTAAATGGGGTGAGGGCACTGACCAGGCACGGCGTGCTGAGTGACACCCCCACATCACTCCTCACCCACGTGGTGGGAAGGGGGCGCTCAGATTAGGGTGGCGAGATGATCACCAATCAATCCCCCCTTTCTAGCGTGATCACCCCCCCACGTGAAGGGAGGGGAGGTCTCCAACCAGGCACGGTGAGCTGAGCGCAGCAATCACCTGGGTTAAATCCAGAGAATCCTGTCTTTAAAATGGAGGTGTGCCCCCCCCCCCCCGCCACCCCCCCCTCCACGAGCCAGCCGTGTCCCTTTCTGCCCCTCGGGACGGGCGCTTTGGCCAATGCCCCTCCCCCCGTGGGTTCATGAACACAGGACGGCCCCGTTTGGGAAGCGGGGGACCAGACCCAGGGCGGGGGAGGCTCAGCTGCCCCCCCCCCCCCGCACTCACCATGCGCAGATCCTTGCGGTAGTTGTTCTTGCGGATGATGTGACGCAGGCTGTTGAGCGTAGCCCGGGCGTTCTTGTTAATGGTCGTCTTCTCATAGGACGTGGCTGGCTTGCGCTGGCCTGGAGGAAGGGGCCACGGGTCAGAGCCAGGGCCCAGGCCAGGCCACGGGGAGGGATCACAGGAAAGGAGCTGGTCTAGTGCAGGACAGGACGGGGATGTTTCCCCTCTAAGGGGCGCCGGCCCCAGGGCAGGGGACTGGAGGGCTCAGGGGGAGGTGGGGAACCAGGCATGGGGCCTTTCCCGTCTAGGGGGCCCAGCTCTGACCCAGCCCCAGGGCAGGGGACTGGAGGGCTCAGGGGGAGGTGGGGAACCAGGCATGGGGCCTTTCCCATCTAGGGGCCCCAGCTCTGACCCAGCCCCAGGGCAGGGGACTGGAGGACTCAGGGGGAGGTGGGGAACCAGGCATGGCGCCTTTCCCGTCTAGGGGGCCCAGCTCTGACCCAGCCCCAGGGCAGGGGGACTGGAGGGGTCAGGGGGTGGGACTGGAGTATGGGGCCTTTCCCCCCCCCGGGGGCCCAAGCAATGAGCTGGGGGGGGTCTCTCCATCCAAATCTGCCCCCCCAGAAGAAATCACTATTTCACACCCCCTGGCTCCCACAATCCTTTGCTGCGGGTGGGGGGTGGGGAAGCAGCCTGTCGGCATCACCCACCTGCCCGTTTCTTCAACACCACCACGATCCCCTTCCCGTCCGCCGCGGGCTCCACACCCACCGTCTTGCGATGGATCAGCCCGTTGTAGCGGAAGGAGTTTCTGGCCTTCAGGTTGTTCGGCTCCTTCGGAGAGACCTGCCCGGTTAGCGGGGC